TCTTAAAACTGTTTATTCTACCGATAAATAAAGGGTTTTTTATTGACTGGGATTTCAATAACTGGGACTGGGATTTCTAATAAAAATCCAACTGGGACTGGGATTTTGCCAAAATTTCAGGTGGGAAATGGGATTGGGACCACCCCCCCCTTCCGGACCCTCTGTATAGCGTCTCTACCAAAAATGTTCTTAGCGCTTAATTCTAAGTGGGCGTGTGCTGTCATTCTTACTTGCAGCTGAGAGCCAAGCTCATGAATTGCGAAGGAAGCAGCTCAACCTGATTGAATCGAAGACTTTCTAAGGGCGCGCCTGTGGCTGCCACCTTATCACTTATATCTGATCACGGAGCACAGCTGTCTACGGTGTCCCAATCCACACTGTCAACATTCCCTGTGGGAAGAAAACCCATGAATTTCAGTTGAGCGTTGACGGACTCGTCTCATATAAATGTCATGCATGAATATATGCAGCGGGAAGCGAACCCGTTCGCATGTAAACATAGTCATTGTTTTGCGAACAAATGAAACCAGACGAACTTGCATCGGATTCTGAATTTGTCCGATCTAGTAGTACGAGATCATTGCTTGGCATATTCATTGACGCAATTCTATTAACTATGTTTCTATTAACTGTGCACAATTTGACAGTTACTATATAAATTCCAATTGCATGAGAGTCACTAAAAATATATCTTGCTATATTTCAGCTCGAGTTGATAAAGCAGGCCATGAACATTGCTGGGGATGTAAGGAATATTATGATGAGTTAAAAGTTATTGATGGCTACATTCAAGGCATCACGAAAGCATTAAACGAAACGAAAACATCGCAAGGTATTGAATAGTTCTTAAAATCTGCTTCTCATAGACAATTGTTAATGATCATTGAAGAGAATGGTTGCAGGCAGGCAAGGGATTTTACTCATCAATGATCTAAGACAATAGTACCGGGGAAGCATCGCCGGCCATGGCGGCATGGGTGATTAAATTAAACATTGTGTCTGTAATGCGATGACGTAATGACTAGGTCTAGGGATGCGCTGGATACTGTTTTGCCGGATAGTACTCTACCGGATATCAGTCAGGGAAAAATTATAACCGGATATTAATGGTGTTATTTAGACAATGCTTCACTATTTAAGGTCCATACTATTTTTCTCCATAATATAAGGTCCATTGTTTTAGCATGTGATTTATCTCTTTATGTAATAAACATTTGTAGCACAGGCACTGGCGGGCAATCTACACATCGCGAAAACATTTTGTTAATGCACAAAAAAGACAAAGAAAACATATATGGCAAAATTTTACCGGATATCTATATTTTACCGGTACCCGGATCCGGCACATCCCTACCACGGTCAACGGGTAGATAAGACATTACTATAGTGGATAGAGCGTCGGTCGGCAAATGCATCAGGGTGTTCAGATTTCTGAGGATAATTCTCATCATCATCATCATCAGGGTGTTCAGATTTCTGAGGATAATTCTCTCATTGAATTTTAAAAATGTTTCCGCTAACATCGGCCTTTCTTCAGGGTACTGCAGTAACGAATATTATTCCCATGGGCTGCATGCATGGTTGTAGATTTTTTTAATCTCTGTAAAAATGCTTGAAAAGTTGTGAAACTACGGATATGTACCCACAATAAATACAATCAAACTAGTAACCCAAGTAAGTATAACCCAGTCTGGGTTAGACTGATAAACAAGCAATTCTAGAAAGTTCACTATCCGGCCTTCGTACAACCGGACCCCATGCATGCAGAAGTGGAAAAACATATTTCTCGTATAAATTTCTATTACATTAAAATTGTGCTATATCACATTATTTTTTGTTGATGCCATCCAGTGCTGGAATGTCCGCCAGCAGCAGCAGCAGCGCTTCCAGGAAATTTGGACTAAATATTTTTGCAGGAAATCTTCTTACATTCTTACACCTTGCAGGAAATTTTCGTCATCTTATATACTGCATGGAATGCCATTATTGTTTAAAATTCCAGAATCGTTCTGCAAGTCAAGATTGTCTTGCCGAGATTGTGCGGCACCATACATTCTCTGAAATCTACCATATTAGGCATATAGGACCATATTAGGACCTACAGATTGTCTTGTGTCGAGATTGTGCGGTACCATACATTCTCTGAAATCTACATATGTATAGGAAGTTTTATATTGGACTTATACAAGAAATGTTTATTTTTTGGATTTTGTTGCCAGGAAGAGAAATACATTTTTTACGCCTGATGCCATCTTATATTTTTTAGGCAAGACGATGTTAGATGAAACTTTAATGATGGTAGTTAGTGATCATGGTGGATATACCAATATTCATGGGGAATGTAATGGTCCTAATACTGAATGTCTAAGTTTTACTATGACTGCAACCATGAATGTACCATTGCTTCTCAGAGGTAAAATTTCCATTCACCACCATCATGTATCCATTATGTCAATCTATCTGTTTTGTACTTTACTCTTCTCTATTTTTATTTTGCCTTGTACAGTCGGATGAAATTTTGCGTAAAATATTCCGAACTTCGCAAATTCATTGCGATGTTGTAATGTGACACTCTGTTGCCACGGCCACCTGGCAAAAGAGTTGAAGTCGATTGTGATGCGCTTGCAATTATTAAACGAAATTTTTCACACATCAGTCTTTCACAGATTTGTAAATTTGTAAGATGAGTATGACATGCGTACCATTTTAGCAGCATTATTTTCTAAAAAACATCTGGTTTTATTTCTTGGAATATTTCTTACCTCAACAATTGGAGTGTATCCGTTTTTTGGTATAATCATTTTACCCTGCCTGTATGGTCTTGGCAAAAACGTAAAAAAATGGTATACAGAACAATCTCATACATAGAAATTATATTTTGCACCTCAATTGTTTTCTACTATTATTTATCTCGTTAGGTCCAGGAATAAAGAAGAACTACAATATGAGTGCCAGCAAGACTTACGTGGCCAACAGAGATGTCGTACAAACTGCACTTCATGCATTAGGTTTAGAAAAAGGTCAATATATGACTGGCAAAGTGTTACATGAAGTATTTAAGGAGCCGGAAGTAGCAGCCGTAAGCAAAGCTAGATTTATAAATGGTTTTCAACAGTTATTATTCATGTGTGTTTTATTGTCTTTTCCTTATTATTTATAAAGTGTTGCTGTAATTTCAATTTAATTTATGTATAAAATGTTAAATAGAATATTGTTACAGACTTACAGTAGAGTATGGACATGTCAGAGGTGAAGATCTGATCCTTTGGCATGTTATCGCACGCGTTAGGTATTGCCACATAGAGTGTATAAAGTAGTCCACTTTTTCCACACCAAAACCATTCAAGCTTTTAGCTGCAAGCTTTTGACAGCTAAAGACCTGATTTTCATTGATAAGAAAAAAAGTAAAACTATAAACTCAATGACAACGTGATAACTCGCCAAATTTGGACTACCCTTTTTTATACACCCTGTATATTAAGTTGTCCTTTTGTTGTTGCAAATTTCAGTCCTCAAACCTTTATATATAAAATTTAATGCTAATTTTCTTACTAAATGGATACCAAGCTGTGACAGTTGAAAAATGTTGTTACAACTTCGGTACTTATAGTTAATCCACTATCTTTCAGAAACAGAAAATTGTTTTGGTGGGTAGGACCCCTAGCACTCCATTACCACTTCACCCTCGCCCTAAGTGTTCGCAATTGACCATATACAACGCCATTTCAATCGTATCTAGAAAATATTGTGTAGATTTAATGAAACTGTGATTAAAAGCTATATTGAATGCATTTATGGTGATTTATTATTATGTATAACAGTCACCTTAGTTACAAACTGTGACATTCAAATTTAACATTAACTGTAACTGCTAAGTGCAATACTCTAACATTTTCATCCATTTCCTTGCTAATTTTTCGCCTTTTCCCATACAAAGTGTTTTCAGTCATTTTACATGTAGTATATACATGCAGCCAGAACCCACGACACTATACACTGGCTGTTGTACCATGCAGCGTCAGTAACGAAGAATACAATATGTGGCCTTGTGGGTATAGTGCAACTATTTCAAAATATGAGAGCAAACGTCGACATTTCAAGCGAAGACTCATACACAGAAGCCCGCGTATTGCATAATAGACCTTTTGAGACGATCTAAAATTCGAGATGACCTCTCACGCTTTTTGAGACGATCTAAAATTCGATGTTGGCATTCTATAAATACTAGAAATTAAAAGAACAGGTCAAAGTTAAGCCAGTATTAAACTGGATGAGAGTATGAGAATTGGCAGTCACGCGACCTTGATGCTAGCATCATATCCGACTCGTCCCCAGTCGTCTCTGTGCTTCAAGCGCGGGCGGAAGCAGAGAGAGTAACACAGAGACGACTGGGGACGAGTCAGGCATCACATTGAAGTCTATACGTCGGACCCGCTTGAAAAATGTTAAAGGACAGTATTTCGCCACAACCAGTGCATACCACATGTTGACAACAACATTTCCATCACCAAATAAAACGCTTCGCATATCGATTCTCCAAAATTTTAATAAAATAATACTAGTCAGTAAATCTTATAATAATTACATAAAATTATTCCTAATCATTTGATAAAAACTCACTGTTCTCCTCCGCTGTTCATCGCACTACTCTCTTCGCAGGTGAGCATTGGGGAAAAATCACGAAAGATTTGTGTTGTGCTTTGCAAATATATACTTTCCCCCGGATGGACTGAAGTTTATATATCAGTAGAATCCTTCTTATGAATCCAGATCAATCAGTGACCCAGACATAATTCAAAACTTTCATGACTTGTTCGTATATCGTAAACACAAAGGCCACATCAAAACAAACTCTGCCCAGACGTGGCACAGTACCTTTATAAAACCTGCCGAAAAATACATTAAATTATGGTTTTAATATTCAGCCTCGTTTGTATGTGATTGGAAAGTGACCTTGCAGGTAACCAAAAATAGTTTGCATGCAGTTAGCCCTGCGAACGAAGGGAGCATCCGGAGCATGTTGGGGACAGCCTAGCTTGCTAGTTGCGATGGGAGATCGTGCCACTGGGGGGGGGG